ACACCTGAAGAAAAATGCTTTGGCTACCTGTCAGGTTCAGTGATAAGCTTTAAACCAGTCCTACGTGCAGACCGTATCGGAAGGTAAATTGCTAATGAGAAAGATAATTCCCAACTACGTGACAAAAACAGAATAAAATGCCAATTTTGTAAAGCTGCCTGTATCTAAACAGGTCAAACTAGCAGAAGTTTTGAAATAACGATAAATAATCGCATGGCCCAAATTCAGAACATTTTAGCTTCGAACATGCAATCGGGTTATTACTCAGTGAAAGGCATTAAAAGCACAAGGGTTCCGAAGGATTTAATCACGTCGGTTTTAATAACATTCATAATAATTATGTAATTACACAACATGGTGAGATTTTAGTTTATCAAAAATGACTAATTCTGGAATGTTTACAACTTATGATTTAGTATAGGTCGCGCGAGTGGTGGTGACACCTAAGTGCGCGACGTGTAAGCCGAGAGAGGGGAGTTCAGTAGTAGTGGGGGTGTCGCACAGCCTCAGATGCTGTGACGAACCGATCTAAACACAGCTAGAGCTACAGTCCACAGACCAGGAGAAAAGCCCTGCTAGGAATTCGATATACGAGCATGCGCAAGATTTCGCGGAGAGTGACGACCCATCCTAAAAGCATTCGTTTCACATGTGTTCTAACCCCACAGTGGCACAGTGATTTAATCTAAAATATTATCACAATACCCACAGAACACTGCACGCTACTCTTAACTGCTTGATGTTTTCAGTCTGTGTACAGTAGCGTAAAACTCTGACATGTCACACTTCCCACCAATAGCAGCCCTATAGTCCACTTGATAATAAACATTCCCCCTGCACCGCCCCAGAAACGACTTCTCCCCGCAGGGCTTTTCTCCTGGTCTGTGGACAGTACAAACCAACTGAAGCTGACACCCCTGTAGCGCGTGATTCGGACGGGTCCATCTCATACTACCAAAATCAGTCCTTTGCGCAAGTGTCAGCACTTCTCGCTCGGCCTCTAGATGTTGACCGACGTTTCAGAGGAGCTTAGAATGATGAAGACGGCAATAAGTATCTACTAGATTACACGGTAAAACATTTAAGAAGATAAACATCTTTATACACAATCTGTATAATAATAAAAGCGTATTATAACAGACATCTAAATTAATATAAAATACAAAACTGGCCTTAAGGCAGTTTAAAAGTAAGGAAGACTTTGTTTTGTTATATGTTTTTCTGCTGAAACAACTGAAGAATTTCTTTTTGTAAAATGCAGAAACAAGACTCGTATTTATGTTCTTGTATAAAGCGGCCAATAGTAATGTCCGACCGAAGTGAAAATTGACATAGTTCGATTATTTGTTTTGTAAAATTATCCAGTATAAAATGCCACCAAAATCTGTTGAACCATTCTCCAGTATTTTAATGTGATCTCCTCTGAGTTCGGAACGCTCATAAAAAGGGCCGTCGTACACAAATTTGCATATGGAACAGAATTTAAACGTGCTTCAGTTCTACGAAAAACTTTCAATTAAAAATGTTTCGATATTCACATTTTAATGGAATACGATTCAAAAATAAATAACATCAAAACAGACATTAACTAGCGTTTACTTCGGCACAAGGGAGCAGGAAAATGGCGCATACGACAGAAATACGAAGACATGTTAGTACTTGTTTAATTTATATACCAGATTACGCATTAACCCTCTAAAAATGTACCTCTATATTATTACTTTATTCCTTTATCTTCTTTAGACGACACTCCATGATTTATTATTTAAAATACTGGTAACAATATCCCATCACACATTACACACGATACGTTATACTGTTTCGGGAGTAATATGCATTTCGACTGTATTAGCTATTTTCGTATCCTAAAAAATTACAACGAAGGGATTTCTTGGAGATTATCGCAAAGTTGTATCTGTAAAGTAGCAAACGCAACTGTGTGATGACCACTTATTTTAAACATCTTTATTAATTTGTCTAAAAATTTTGGTTAATGTACATTTTTATTCGTCTAGCAGTTTAAATAATATGACGTTTCGGAAGCTGCCTTTGTTTCCACAATCAGGTGAAACATTATTACGTAATCAGTTGGATGCATTGTAAGAAAAGAAAAACTAACCTCAATTTCTAGTTTTATCCAATGAACCCAATTGATTAGGTTGTCATATTTCACCTCATGACGGAAGTAGAGCCACTTTCTAAAAGGACTTGCGCATTTACACAGATAAATGAAAGAAAACGTCTAAGAACACGCATCAGTTTAATCTGTATTAATATTCATACACTTACTTAGATCTTAATTTTTAAAAGAGCCTCCTACTTAAATCTCAGAAATACTGTTATCATATAAAAGCGTAATTTCTCTAATAATTTCCGAGCAGTCGAATTTCCTGTTTGTAGAATAGGCTATTATATTGTACCAGCGCTGTATCCTATGTTTATAATTTAAGTTATTTCCGTCTTAACTTAACATTTGATAAATTCTGGTACACCAAGTGAAATGGTACGCCTGTATTGTGGCTAATGATCACTGAATGAACAGAATGTACTCAATAATACGTATACGTACAACTGTCAAAGATCTGGAGGCCTTCGGTTCAAATCTCGGCCTGGAGACAGTTTATTCTGACTCGTATTTTTCGTGGTATTCGTCAGTCACTCCAGGAACATGCTGAGACAATACTTTCAATTTGCCCTCGAAAGCCTCATTCCACATGTACCAAAATATTTTCATTAAATATACTCGTACTACTGACAGTGTCGTTAAATAGACTTAGGATAAATAATTGAATAAAAATTTACTTGGATATTATACATCGTCTAGTAAATATAAAACGTAAAACGACGTTTCGGAGATGGGACTCTATCTCCGTCTTCAGGTTCCTACACAGTTGGGCCCACTAGATAGAGCTAATCCCATCTCCTAAACGTCGTTTTACGTTTTATATTTACTAGACGATGGATAATATCCAAGTAAATTTTTATTCAATTGACTCTTCACCATCGTCAAGAAGTTTTAGGTTTAGGATAAATAATACAGCAATAAATGGAAGTAAGAAACAGCAGAACCACCGATTGGTGGCTGTTAAAGCCGAAACGCATACAGTGAGAAATAAAAGAAAAATTGTTACAGAGTGACATCGGATATTGTTATTAACAAATCTCTTATCTTGATTAGCATTATAAACAATACTCTTGTATTTGGATTTGTATTAGCAAGTGTAGGTTATCATCTGTACGTTAAGATTTCAAGAAAAACTGAAGAAGAAAAACCAGGAGAAGCAACAACACTTTTACGACATATTTAAATCAGAAACACACACTTCAGAAAGACGAAACTTATGGCAAAATTATTACTCGAACGGGAAGCTGTTACCGAAACATAAGGAAAAACATGCATCTTTCTATACCCGAATCGACATGTGAGCAACGACGTATAACGAAATGTGCATTAAACACATATAAAGATTGTGCGTCCAAAGATATAAAACCCATAAAGGAAATCGCATTTAGAAATTCTGTGTAGGTCGGCTCCGAAATTGATTTTATCTTACAACACTTCTTTTAATTTTGGATATATACAAAATACGATACAAGATCAAAAATACCCATCAAAATATGACTAAAAAATTGGAGGAAATAAATAAATAAACAACCAAACGCTGAAAAAGTAATTTTGTTTTCGGCACGATGGACACTTTAAACAGTTCTTGCACTAATCTCCTTTCATCAGCGATGCGCTTTAACCTCTGAATTTCTTAATAAAGATGTTTTCTTGAGACATCGTGTTCATTTCCTTTCGGTAAAGCCACTTAAGTCGCAGTCTGTATTCTGTATGCTACAGCAGTTATTAATATACAGCGGAACTACACAGACGGTAGAAGATGGATGGGACATAATTCATTAACACACTTGAATTTCTGAGGGCGTGCAGCGGAACTACACAGACGGTAGTAGATGGATGGGACATAATTCGTTAACACACTTGAATTTCTGAGGGCGTGCAATTTGTAATTTGTTGTAGTCAAAACAATAATCTGTAACGTTTGAATAAGAGATCTGTAAATACTCTCCAGTGGACGGATTTACAATTTACTTTTTTTTCGTTGTTTTGAGCATAGAACACGTCCATAAACTTGACTGGGCATTTCAGAATCACAGAGTATTTCAAAGTTCTACAATCACAAGAATTTCCAAAACCTCACACAATATTTCAGGTGTGTCGTGAATTTTTATTTCCACGTAACAGTTACAAAAAAGGCAATACCTGGTTCATAAAAAGAATTCGTAAAACACACAAACCCAGTTTTATGAGTTGAGCGCTAGACAACAAGGCCCCAAAAACCCACAAGACAGTCGCCTTAAATGAGTAGATTAATTAATTAGTTAATTAAACGGTATCGTTTAAATGACAGCTCAGTACCTACAACTCAAAACAGCTGGGTGCCGAAGACAAGTTATTCAGACAGCACGAGGCATCTTTCCTAAAGCCAATTCATGCAAAACATACCGTGCACTGGGAAGGACGAAAATCACGAAAAATGATATGTTTTCGAATCCAAAAGAAGTTATTTTAAAGTTTTCCTCCGTACCAGGTATTCTAAACGACAAGTATAGCAGAACTAAAAATACATAAAGGAAATATTCATTAACCCGTTTCTTAAAATAAAATCAAAATCTTGTATGCGTAACACAGTCACAGACTGCCTTAAAACACGCAAAAACTGCAAATTAACAGACGTAATCGGAAATATAATTGCAGTTTTCAGAATTTAACAGAGGCCCTTTAAATACTGCAGAAACCTACATAGCGCCCAATGAAAAATGCAATGTCTCATTTACACTATACGAACTGAAGCCACATCTTGAAGACGTTCCTATATGAAGAAATATTATAAAAAGTATTATTGCGGGTCATACATCACTTTCTACAATCTTTGCTCTTAGACCGTCGCAGATTTTTACAAAAGAAAATACTACAAACATTATATGGTACTTACCTTGAGTTTGTGAACTTCCCGCTGTAACCGTATAACTTCCTGTTCTCTCATTCTGAGTTCCCTCCTGAGTCCAAACACTTCTGCTTCTAGGGAGTCCGACTTCGCCTCCCAGTCCTTGGCTTCTCTTTTGAGCTGCGGGACCAAGCCCTTGAGGTAGCCATACTCCTCAGGCTGCGAGACCCTGAATACGTTGGAAGATCCGACGTGGAAGTTCTTCTTTGTCTGTCCGTCTCCTGCTGACCGCACATTACTTGCTGTAACAGCTGTATTCGATGAAGATGTTGCACAAGGCCCTGTGGATACACCGTTACCCATCAGGTACCTCTGTTGCTGCTTATGGTATTCCCTGAGAAGTTCTTCTTCGTCCTCCTCTAGAGGGTCCTGTGATTCGTAGTCTATGGCATCGAGGTGGTAGCGGTAGCAGGACGGGAGGTGCTCGCGTTCTGTTAGAATCTCGTTGAGGCTGACGGGTTCATGGCTGTGAGCGCCACAGTGGGCATACAGACTGCCACACGAGTGACTACTCGACGCTGCTACGGCGGGGGGGGGGGGGGGCG